ATATATATATATATGCGTCCCACACGCCCACACGTCAAGAAAACGCCCGTGGTAGATTGGGTGAGCGAGCGTGGCGCGGTTTGAAAAGGGAGCGCCCGTAGACTACAATACTGTTGCGCGCTATGCGGCACTGCGCAGGAATATGACGTAGAAGTACTCAGACTGGAGAGGGGGAGAGGACGCGCACTATCCCTACGCGGAGGGCGCGTGCATAAATTGACTTCTCACTTCGAGAAAGTGTACCTACACAAAACAAAAACGTTTTTAGACTTACTGGCTAGGGTGACCAGACCTCCCATGTTACCCGGGACAGTCCATTTTTTGAGTCCCTGTCGCGTATTTTTTTGAAAGAAAAGCGGACCTTAAAAACGATGATGACTAATCGTCATAAAGTGCCGACAATTTTAAATGTATCATAATGTATTCCGTTCGTTTTGCATTAATTTATAAAACGTAAGCATGAGTAGATCATACGCTCATGTATCACTTAAGATGAATGTTTCACACTCTACTGGAATCAAGGAGAGATTCAGTGGTGGTTCTAGGAAGGGAAAATAAGCTATCGCATCATTTGAGCTTGTATATCCTTAATCGGTATCGATATCGTGACCGAAAAATTCAGTAATCCGAACCTTCTGCTTCTGAGAGTTTCTGTGCGACTTTGAAAGCGATTTTAATTGAGGAATACGGGACAACTTATAATGAATAAAAATGCAAATGTTCCATTCTAATGTTCTTTTTTGACATTGTTTTTCTCCGTTTTCTAATTCTTTTTTGACATACATTTTTCTTAACGAATATGGAGGCTGGTAATTGCTGTTTCATATGAATACAGCCAACCCAATAATACAACATTGTGTTGAAAACTGCAAACACTATTGAATGAAATTTATTAGAATTAGAAGACTCATAGAAGACAGTTGTGGTCAGAACTTGTGAAATATTGAAATATAGTGTCTTTTTGTAGGCAAGTGATAAAACGCGTAAATGCAGCATGTGTACAGTTTTTTTATTTTTTAATATCTGGTCACCTTATCATCGGCAGAGAAAAACCTCCAACAAAGAATGATTTGGACTTACTGAAAGAAACTCAACGCATCCGTCGTGTTTTAATCATAGCTCGCGGCATCCATCATCTCCCTCTTGCCACCCAGATGAGATGTGTTCAGGTCATCTTCATACAGAGTGACTCGTACTGTCTTTTGTGAAATTGTAACAAGTAGCGATAAGCGGTTTTAACACAGTAAGCAAATTTCCATCACCCAGATATCATACTGTCGATTGCATTTTTCCTTTGCAACTAACGATGCTTGTTTAAAACAAAACGACGTTGCTCTCGTAACTCGTGGTAAAGTGTACCGACTTCGTCTTTTTCTCAATTTTCAGTTTCTCAACTTGTTTTCCTTGTTTTTCTCTCTTAACTTTACCGAATGACGTCTATGAAATGGAACTGTGTCAAACGTCCCTCCAGAGCACTGCAAAGTAAGGACGTGGATGAATATGATAATCCAAGATCAACTACAACTATTGTAGTCGGTCTTAGATAATCTATACAAGGATGTTTGAAAATCAATTTTGAGTGATTTTGTCGACGTTGGCATTCTCAGCACGTGTTGTTGACAACTTTACTTACTACAGAGGCGACATCTAACGGACACCGCGGCAATCACGAACAGATATGAACTCCATCTCCCGGACTCGCTGCTCCGGCTCTGCTGGCGCTGCTGGTGGTTGAAAACGAAATCGTGTCGTTCGTAATCGTCTGTGCCGACGATTGTGTGTGACGTACATGTGTGTTTTTCGCGTATTTGTTTTCAATTACTGATTGTTATTAAATTATGGTGTTTGTATAATAATATTTTTTGTTTTCTGCAGTAGATTTTAGGTGTCACTCTTTATTGTCGTGAAATAACTGGTGATAATAGCAAGTCCCCTAGTCTTCCATAACCTCGGAGAATTGAAATTTAATACTCGATGTGAAATGTAGCAATTTATTTATATTTGTTGTAAATAGTTCTCTACGACATGCTAAAATGTTGCAAAACACTGGTTTTGGAATATGACAAATGACGTTAGCATGAGCGAGAAAAAGGAAGATACAAAGGTTTGTGACTTACGAGAAGGAAACGTACCAATATCTCTTGCATTTAATGTCTACCCGTGTAAATGAATGTGTCGTTTTATTTTCCCTTTCAAATGTTACAAACGGTAGGGGGGCAGTAAATTATGCTCATTAACTTATGTGAATAGAATCTCTTACCAAACGCAGTACACTTGCATTGTTGTACATTAGTTTAGAGAACAACAATGCAGGCGTGCCACTCTTGGCAAGTGATTGCCAGTACTATACAACGGTGAAAACCTTTAACAATTGACAATATAATATGATTTCTGTTGATTGTTGGTCTTTTGATTTATGAATTATATGAAATGTGTAACTACATACTCTCTTTAAGCTGTTGTCATGCTTCATTCTTTGGTATAGGAAAGTGTTTTTAAGTTCAGAATATTGTGTTTCTTAATTCATTCTGTATTTCTTTCATAGTGACATATCACTATGCTTATTTTTCTGAAGTGCATTTTTATATTCCCATTGGTGCATATGAGTTCTGTTTAAAAAAAGGAAAACATTGCCTAGTTACAATTTAATCAAATGATTTGTAAACATTGATTAAATGAAAATAAATATTGAAATGTGTTTCAGGTGGGGGTTGCTTGCCCACTATGTTTGAAGAGAGGGAAGCAATCCAAAGTTAAACTTTTTCAAATAAACTATTCAGAAGCATTGGTATCATGTGAGGATTCACAGGTACTATGATGAGAGTAATTCAATGGACTGCTTGCGGATATTGCTTCTCATAGGTTATGTTCCTTTATTTGTTTTCAGTTAATTTTATGTCTCTTATTTAGTAAATTGTAGATGTGCATTTGTTCTGTACCACTACAACTTGTTTTATTTAGGGGGAAAACTTTATTAATGCAATTACAAAAGGGTTGTAAAATGAGGCTTGCAGTTAAAAAAAAAAATTTTTAAAAAGAAAAAAAGAGAGGGAGAAAGCAAGCCCTATTCCATTGAAATATGACATAATCTAGAAAAAAAAATTGAGTTATTAACTTGTTTAGGTTTATCAAGACTAGTAATTAATTATTCACTTGTTAAGTTTTATGTTTTATCCTTATTCTTTTTTTATTACAAAGTAACTGGAAATACAATTATTTCCTTCCACTTGCAAGTAGAGCATGAATCAAAATAGAACATGAACCTACTTGACTAATAATTTTTAAATTTAATTGTGTAACCTTCAAATACATTACTATATTATGGAAAGAATTGAATGTTACAAACAAAATATGTTCTAAATCTTCCAAATATGTTAATGTCAAACTAAGTCAATGTAAATTGACTTTATTGGAATATGGGAGGACGAATATTTGCTTCTGTTACATATTTATTTCATTTCTAAAATGTTAAATTAATTTATTTTTACATAAATGGCTATTTATAATTTTTGTATTTAATGGAAAATGGGACAGAGTGTTAACCAAAAACAAATGAGATAAGATTTTGGTTAGGAAATGATTAGGAATTTATTTTTGTTACAGTGTCCATTTCCTCTTCTAGAGGGACATTTGACTAACATTGTTAGGAGAGATTTTAGGGGTGTGAAAGCAGAAGTACCTGTACCAAATATATCTGCAGCAGATTCACTTTCAGGTAATGTATATTTCTCAACTGTATATGTTTTATAATTTTAGCATTAAATGAACTATATAGAAGATGAGTTTATTAGAAACAATGTAATTTTGTTTAAATTTTCAGATAATTCTGTTTGTGGCAGTGAAAGTTCTAGTCAGATGAAATCAGCTAGTATTATTGAAAATGTGGATGGATCTAGAGGAGTTTCACATTCAGATGTGTCAGCTACTACCAACTCAACTGCTGTGATAAATACTTCAGCTTCAAGTTCTGAAGTATTAACTAATGTTAATAAATTTGATAAATTTGAATTTACAGCCACAGTTCCTGCACAAAAGGAAATAAGGAAGAAACCGAAGAAAAAGTATTACGTTGGATGTAGAAAAAGGAAAAGCTACAAGAAACCAAACTCCAGAACCCAAAATGTTGGTATTGAATCAGAATCATAATGTATTGATGTCTCTCCAAAAAAAAAAAAGTGTAAATCAAAAAAAAATCATGTAAACGGATCTTGGTTTGTAAGCTTTCTTTCAGAACCATAATATATTTGATTTTTTGTTGTTGTTTGTTTGCATTGGTGTTGATATATCAAGTTTCCTGTTCCCTGAAATATTAAATCTGTTAAGCAAATGTAAAATAATTGTATTAATTAAATGTGTAGTATTTGTATAGAAGGAATTAGTATCCTTCTTGAAATTGTGGTGTTTCAGAAGGAAACCCAAAGGTCTTGCATTTACTTCAAGATGCTTTTTAGTTTTCATACAATGTTCTGAAAGAAAGCTGAAAATATTTTTAATATTAAAGGAAGATAAGTTTACAATAAAGCTGTCCTATTAAATTAAATATTATTTTATCTGTGGACCCAATATTCCCCAGTGTCTATTTTCATCCTCATTTCCTCTTCCTTTCTCCCAAGAATTTCAACATTTATATTTTTTAGGTTGATAATATATATGACCCTACGATAAACAATAAATGGATGATTTGTGCAATTTATCCTTCCTTTTTCTTCAAGTTTGGTTACATATATAGTCTGAAAATATTTGCTTGAGTGCTGGTGTATAGAAGTTCAAACGATAATGTAAAACCTGAATTTTCATTACAGCAATTGGCAAGTTACTTCCTTCCTTTCCACATTCCCAATTAGTAAGACTTAATATTAAAAGTTTTGGCACTGCTCACTGTGATGTCTGTTTTTCATATTATTGTACAAGAATTGGTTATTATTTAACTGTAATTCAAGAGAATCACATTTTCCAAGAGGTGAGAAAGCCTGTTTTCTATGAAGTTTGGCATTAAAATAAAATATTTTGGGCATAGTCCGTTTTGATTTATTTTTTGTAGGAGAGAAAACAAAACTCTAATATTCTTTTTTATTTTAGATATTTACAATATGTTCTTTAAAGAAAATGTTTTCCTTTTCAATAATTGCTACAATAAGTAATTGTGTAAGCTGGAATTTTCCGTTAAGGTTACTCGCACAGATCTAAAACTGGTGAAGCTAATCTCTGGATTCCTGAAGCTCCTCGTTTTAGAAGTTCAGTTTGGGAAAATTTGTCCCCCCAAAAATTGGTGTGTTCACTTTCTTTATGAAATTAATATTTTTGATGCTCTAAATTATTTTAGAAATATTTCATGATTAATTTACAGAAGTTACTGCAATATGAAGTTCATATCCAATTAGAACTGGATTTTAGGTCAATGATAAAATCTACATGCAAAGATTTAATTAGCAAACAAAATTGTTGATAGTTCCTAGCTTTGCTTCTGGGTGGTAATTTAAGCTATTTTCTCAAAATGTTTTGTTCACTATTCCCAGTTGTTGTTTCTTTTAATACAAAATGGTAAAAAATGAAAGTACTTTTATAATTATAAATTCTAAAGTCTTAAGAATTTTTTAAAAAATTTTGCTGCAATTAAAATATTTTAATATTTATGTTTCTTTTTCAAATTCTGTCTAAGGAGCATAACTTAACGTATTATTTTTACTACTAATAATCTAAGAATTATTAAGAAAGTTCCAAAGGAAGATGAACAAATTGGGGAAAAAGCAATTAAACAATGTTATCAAGGGCTTTAATACATATTCTGATTAATGACTTATATACCTGATGTGTAGAAAAGATTAATGAAGAAATAAAAATTGAAATTACGCAATTATTTAATGATTATCAAAGAATTTTGGAGAAAGATACATTCAATATGTGAGTTGCATGAATTATGTAAATACGATATTGGGAAGATACCAAAAACCATTTTTAATGTGTATACACTTATTAATGAATTACAAAGTTGAAATTGCTTATATATAATTCAATGGTGGAATATATAGAGAGTAATTTATTGACATAAGCTCAAAGAATCAGAGAAAACAATTTTCTAATATATCACCAAGAAAATGTGTTTAGGCATTCATTCATTTAACAAACAAAGTGAATTAAGAGGAAATAACAATAGATAAGATTGGTCAATTATTCATTAGATATTTGACAAATATTTAGGTAAAAAACCATGAAATATGAAATTGCAGAAGTTGTTTTGCAAAAAAAATTGTATATTCTTAATTGAATTTCTTGCATTTTATACAAAGGAAATACATAATATCACATAATTTCAATTTTAAGTCATCAGTATGAACTTCATTTTCTGGGATGATAGGACTAAAAACTTGATTTAAAACCGAGTCCCAGCTATTATAAATGAATATTTGATTGCGATACCATGAGGAGCCTCTAAGAAAAGTGTTGACAATAGAAGAATTAAAAGAATACCTGTCAATGTGAAAATGACTGATGACTCTTCAAAAACACCTTCACCTTCATTCTAGAAGTGAACTGCAAGAAAACTTGTATGTTTCACTAATAACATTAATTCAAGATCTGAATAAACTCGTTATTGAAATTCTGTAGACATTTTTAGAAACAAAGCGATCCAATACATGTTATATTATATTAACAATCAAATGATAGGAATGTGTTCAAAACAGTAAAATAGTATTTAAATATCAAGAAGCCTTTCAACTATATAATAATATAAATAATGAAATTTATTATACAAAAGAACCTTGAACCTTATACATTGTTCAACTTGAATTAAAAATTATGACAATTTTGGAAGTTGAATTTTGAAGTAAAAGATTCAAAAGAATTGTATTTACAATTCTTAACAAAAAATTTAAAATAAACTTGATTGTTCTTCTAATTTTTTTATTTCTAAATTTAACTCCAGTGTATCATAACTGTTAGAAGTCTACTTGTAGAGGCAAAAATAAAGCAAACAAAATATTATTGCAAAAAAGTACTTGTGAATTGGCAACATCCTTTATTCCTCTAATCCTTTCTATTTACTTGATTGGGTTAATTTTAATTTACCCCCATTTAGAAACAAAAGTGTAAACTGTCTTTCTATAATGAAAAAAGTGTACTATGCTTTAACTACTTATACTTTAATTATAATAGAATCTATTTTATTAGTTGCCACAGACTACTTGAGTATTATTCTGTTTTTAATATAAACGACATAATCATCAATTGCATTCAATAATATCAAGCATTTAAAAAATAACTAAAAATAATTGGAGTCTTTCAGGAGTACATTTTGAGACTGTCTTTTTAATCTGCTTTCTTTGTGGAATCAGTTAAAACATTTTTTCAAAAATCAAACACTTAAAAAAAAAAATGAACATAGGTCCTGGCCTAAGAGTACAGGGACTAGTATTCACAGGAGGTAAATTTTTTAAAATACGAGCATACTAAAACAACTAGTGTTAATATAGGAAATAAACAATTATCTGTATCTATCTATTCACCGTTCAAACAAGTTCACAAAGTCTAGGGCGTAATGCAAATTAAATCTGGACTTCGATGGACACTGAGAACAAAGCAAATTTTTTTCCATAATCAAAAACAAGAAAATTAAGAAATACATGTAAGCACATACGAATCGCAGCATGCGCACTGAAACATTATATTTACGGCACTATTGTGATTTCTCTCCGAAGTTGACCTTCTCATGTAGACTTCTGACCTCTATGAAATTAACTTGATTTTCTTTTTACAGCTTTATGTTTTGCAAATTCAGATACATTGTGCTAAGTTATATACAGCTTAAAATGTTTTGGTACCTATTAAACCATTTTTTCTACATTTTAACAGTATTAATTGGATGTGTTTCAGATGGGTGTGACTTGCCCTCTATGTTTTAAGAGAGGAATACAGTCAGAAATTAAACTTTTCCAGAGAAACATGGAAGCGCTGATATTATGTGCAAATGATAAGGTATAATAAATTAATTAATTATTTAAACATACATTTTGATTTTGATATACAAAGACTTTTACATATGTTATTATTTTCACTTATTTTTTAACTTGCATTCTGTGAAAGATATGTTTTTACTGCATTTCCTCTACACCTGGTGAGGACTAAAAGTAGAGTACCTACTTAAGAGATTTCTATTACTGTTTAAATGTATCCAATAATAAATGTTTTAAACTTAAGTTTATGTCCAGATTTAGGCTTGTAAGCATGCATACATACTCAAAGCAGAACAAGAACAACCTTTTATCCATTAAACATTATAATAACAATGTTAAAATGCAAATATTAGATGCAGTGACGTGTTTACTATGTAGATGTAAAACAGCTGATATTCTAAAGTTATTTTGATTTTTTTTGTTTTAATCTATTATCATAAATTCCAAATTTAATTTTCTGACAACTGGGTTTTTATTGTAATTGAGTAATTATAGCTAAAAGTAAACTTGCTTTCTATTTTATGATCTCTGTAATACATTTGATCAAGAACTTTCATCATTACAGTGTATGCTGAGTATGTGATATCCTGTAATTTTTAAAAATAAGATTATTGTGGAAATAACTTAGTGTAATACAAATTATTGAATAATACAATAGTAATTGTTGTGGTGTAAACTACTCTCAATATGTTTTGTTTGAATTTAAAAGTTCATAATAAATGTTTCAGTGCAACTTTCCTGTACTTAAAGTGTATTTGACGAATATTAATATGTCAGAAAATTACAAAGCATCTGCACCAAATTTATCTCGAGAGGACTCTGCATCAGGTAACTTAACAATAATTATCATAAAATAGTACTGACCTAGATCTATTTTAGAAATATTACCGAGATCAGTGCTAGGCCTGTAACAAAGACTAAGCAAAGCATAAAAGTTATCCTCTTCTTTAAATTTTGAATTTCAGATTATCAGATTTACAGAAGTGCAAGAATTGGCCAGATACAGTCTATCTTCAAAGAAGAGGTCAGACCTCAAAACGTTAATAAAATAAATGAGTTAAGCACAAACTTGGTAGCAACAATAGAACTTTCAGAATCAAGCTCTGAAGACACTGTAAGTGAATTGGATTATACATAATCAATTTCTTCATAGTATAATTTTGCACCTTTGCTACAAAAGTGACACAACTCAAAAATCTTCATTTTTGATTTTTTACTGACAGTTGCAGAAAGGATACTTGACCAGTCAGCAAAAGTGTTGTGCTATAACTTCACAATATGATGAAGACACTAAAAGTGACATAACTAAAACAGAAAGTCAGTTCTTTGGGGTTAATGCTAAAAATATCTAAAACTTTATTTAATTCTAGTTTTATATTCATTCTCATTAGTGCAGATAAATTTGTTTGGCTTAGTAACGCCACAAGTGGCCTTTTGTGATTTATGGAAAATCTGACATTTTGAGATGTGTCACTTTTGTAACAATTGTGTAATTTGTATGAAGACCATGATGATGAAATAGCAATGAACATTTTGCATTCTCCTGGAAAGAAATGAGTATTATGTAAATGATCATTCTTGAATCCAAAGTGTAAGAATTTAATAAAAAATATATGTATATATATATATATATTATGTATTTGAAAGTCAGAAGGAATACTACCTAGTAAGTGGTATTTTTTTTAAGAAAATGCCAAACATCCCTCCTAACTGAACAAGGCACAAATAATCTTGCATTTATTTGTATTCAAATGTTAAAATATTTTTGAAAATAAATGTTCGTAACAATGTCAATGTATTTAATTCATTTAAAAACAAATTTTGTATGTTGTCTTGAACTAAAGTAATAATCCTTTTATTATTATTCTTATAATTTGTAAACCTATTTATTTTTAAAAGTACTACTTCACCTCACAGCTTCAAGGTGTCCCATAATGCAATATACACTTAATGCCAAGATTAGACTCCTGTGAGGGTGCTACGATTTAGGAGCACCGAAAAAATAAAGAATAAATTCTTTTTATCTTATCCTACTACCTTTATAGACTTGGGTTTGGAGAAAATTAACTCATTATTATATTCCATGAAATAATGGTTGCCTTGCAACAGCAGCTTGGTAAACAGTATGGTGCACACAAAAATATTACTCTATTTATAAAAGAAGAAACATACCCATATAAATACACATCTATGTTGAATAATTATTCTTTTCTTCTTCTTTCCTTTTTTCTTCATCATCTTCTGCTTCTCCATCTTACAGTCAAAGTACAACTTTCTATTGGTCTATTCCATCTTACACTCTCAGCAAAATACAGTAAAACTCAGTTTTTATGTTCCTGCATTTTACATTTTCCTGCCCTTTACGGCTTAAACTTACGGATAAAACTGAATAACAAAAGGAATACATACTTCTTGCAATAGAAAAAGAAATGCATTTTAGATTGATCATTCGACTGCTGGCCAGCTGTGTCCCCCATGCCTGGGTCTAGTTAATTGTCTGGCTAATACATTTGGACAACATTCCAGATTTTCTTATTAAACACAGTGCTCTAATAACCACTCTCTCACATCTGCAATTATGCTTTAAAATCAGGCATAATCCCTGATATATTCAAAAGAGCAAAAATGAAACCTATGTTTAAAAAGGGCTGTAGATATGATCCAATGAACTACAGACCTATCTCCGTGTTATCAGGATTTTCAAAAATTATGGAAAGACTTTTAAATGATAGACTCGATCTGTTCCTCAATGCAAATAATGTCCTTTCAAAAGCACAACATGGCTTCAGAAGTAATAGATCTACAGACACAGCCATCTTCTCCTTTCTAAATGACATACTTGTTGCACTAAATCAGAAGAAAATTCCAATTGGCCTTTTCTTAGATTTGTCAAAAGCCTTTGACATTATTGACCATCACATACTTTTAGGAAAACTAGAAATGTTAGGGATTTGAGACATTGCAGGCCAATGGATCAAATCATATTTATCAAACCGTTGTCAAATAGTTGCCCTCAAGCACACGAAAGAAAACAAAATCTCATCATACTACTCCTGCCCTCAAATGATAAATTGTGGAGTCTCGCAAGGATCCATCCTTGGGCCAATACTATTCCTTATATACATAAATGACATGCCTTTGACTTTCAGGAATAACAAAATAATTTTGTTTGCAGATGACACAAACAATTATCAAAGCAAAAACACATCAATCATTAGAAAAAGAAACTCACAAAACTTTGCAAGCACTAGTAAAATGGTTTCAAGACAACAAACTCATCATAAACATCAGCAAGACAGTCTCTCTAAATTTCATGAATCCCCGATCTAAAGAAAAACTCTCACATCATTTGCTCATAAACAATATCCCTTTAACAATATCTCATGAAACTAACTTCCTTGGTCTAATAATTCAAGAAAACTTAAAATGGAATGCTCACATCTCAAATCTTAACTAGAAGCTCACCAAATCTTCCTATGACCTATACACCCTCAGGTCAAGCTCCAACATTGAGACACTTTGAACAATGTATTTTGCAAATGTGCACTCCCACCTAAAATATGGAATAATATTCTGGGGAAATGCCCCTGAAAGCACTCGCATATTTGTTATCCAAAAAAGAATATTCCGAACAATGACCAGTACTCATAAGCTGGAGTCTTGCAAACCTTTGTTCAACAACTTGTTCCTTAGTTGAACTCCTCTACTATGCATGTATATATTTGAAATAGTGGTCTTCACAAAGAAAATTCTCATAGAAAACAAAGACACTTTTACTTTAAATTCCAATGTACACAACTACAACAGCCGTCAAAACGATAACCTACATGTTCCCCACTCTGAAACTACACTTTATCAAAAAGTACCCTAATAGAGGGCATTACACTTTCTAACGAATTAGGCAATGACATTAAAGACATAAACACAATTCATATATTTAAAAGTAAATTGAAAGCTTTCCTTCTTAACAATATGTTCTACAGTGCAAAGGAATCAACAACTTTTCCCTTAAAAAATATAAATAAGTAAAAATTTCTTATGCCATTAGACTTTCTGTTTCATGTTAACTGTTTCGAGCTGAAGCAAAGAAAAAAGAACTGGCGTATCGCATCCTGTGAAGTAGAAGGAGAACGCCTTGTTTCTCTCTGGATTTGTTAGACGCATTGAGTGCTGCAGTAGGACTACATGTACAAATTGAAAGAAGAAAAAGAAAAAAACTGGTCAAAACTTGCCTCCTCCTCCTCCTCCTCCTCACCATTTTAAATTTTAAAAATAGAATATATTAACATTGTTAAATTTTATGTAGTTACTAACAGATTTGATATGTATTGTATTAATATTATTATTATTATTGTTGTTGTTATTATTATTATTATTATTATTATCATTATTATTATTGTTATTATTATTGTTATTATTATTGTTAAATTATTTGGTACTAAAAATAATTCTCTACTGTATAATATCGTAATCTACCTGTAACAAGTATTGTAGTATAATTTCTAGGTCAATGAGTCCATCTCAATCAGCTTTTGTTCAGTCTCCCTGGCCCATTGAGCAAATGCTGAGACGGCTCCTTGCTTGCTCCTGAACAGTAATGTAAATTCACTCTCTCCACCCAAGACATCATATTGACTCGTCATACATGATTGTAATTGTATAGCACATGTGAAATGTTAAGCAAACAACCCCTGCACAGACTCAATAAATATTAATTCCCATGCTGGGGGGTAAGAGAGACATGTGGGGAACATCATATATTGCCTTCACCAAAATTAGCAAACACTGCCTACCTGAGTTTTTCATCATCACACAGCTGCAGAAACTGAGACAATTTTAAAGGAAAGAAGAAACTTGTAACTGCTCAATACATTGAATCAAACAAAAATGAAGCACATGTGAAATGTTAAGCAAACAACCCCTGCACAGAAAACTTGGGATAAAATCTTTGAAATAAATAAGAATAAATGAATACTAATATCTCCCAAGAAAATTGTCAACATTTTCAACAATACTTTTTCACTTTATCTTCCTGCATGAACATACATGAAACTACATTAGCAGAGATTCTCCAAGAACTAAATAAACTATCAAATAAATCTTCATCAGGAAAAAATAACATTCTGGATTTTATTCTTCAAAAAATTGCACTCCACATATTTAAATATACAACTGTTCACTATCAAAAGCCATCTTTCCAGAAATTTTTAAAACAGTATTTCATAACTCACTGCAATCTTCACATTTGTAAATAAAATACTAACGATTTTAGGCAACAAAGAATTTCCAAATGGAACTAGTTATAGATTATTCAAAAGCATTTGATTTGACAGATCATGAAATTCTTCTTCTGAAGCTAGAATCTTGTGGCATTCGGCATTAGCTCATTCTTGGATCAAATGGTACCATACAAATTATAGCAAATTGTAGAAATGTGTTTTGCCAATGGCAAAATATTGGAGCACTATAAATCAGAATCCAAGTAAATAAAGTACAGAGCTCAACCATTCATACCAAGTCCATTCTTACATTAATGATATGCCACAAGCTATAGGTAATCTTAAAACAGTAGTTTTTGCACATGACGTAATGTTATATATAAATCCAAAACACATGGAGCTTTGTTTTGACAGCATTTTATAAATGCTGCCGCTACACCATTGCAGCAACTTAGCAAATTGATTTTCACATAACAAACTACTTGAAATCAGGAAAACAGTGACTATCATTTCACGGTACACATAATCAGCCCTACATGTACAACTAGTGGTGTGTCAATAGCACATATTTTCTTGCATTACTTTTACAATTTTCAAAAATTAAAAAATGAGATTTTCACCATTTTTTTAATTGTTCTGTACTCTGTCTAAGAAAAAAATTTAAAGAAAAACTGAGCCGTTTTTGAGAAAATTTTATAAATAGCATTAAATGCAAGCGGAACAACGTGAAAACATCTAATTTTTTCAATAAAAGTTCCTTCTACCTAAAACAATGACCTTCTTTAAAACTCTAATTTAATTTAAAACTATAAACAATAAATGAAATCTGTTCTAAAGTACAGATTTCATTTCGGAAAAAAAATTCTATTGTCATTATTGTATTTTTGCACTGTTAACTTTTTAGTTTTCAATTCACCATAAGTGGAACCAGCACACAATTTTTTACCGTCCTTCGCAGATGCAATTTGCAGATGTTTTTCACAAATTAATGATTTAAAAATTGTCTATATTTCAGGCACAAACACTAAAAAAATACTCATATTTTCCAAAAATTATGTATGACATTATTTCATGATGTCTGTACAGCACATATTTCAACAGTTGAATATATAGGAATAGTAAAATTGTCACTAATAATATTAATAATTTAACACCAAGGTATCCTTTGTCATTTTTTGACAATCAAAAAATGTTTTCAAAAAACAATTCGTATTAACAGGACAATAACATCATCAAAACAGATTTCATAAAGAGAAAAATCTGTCTGCAATATTGTAGTTGTACGAAGGCACCGAACATTTTTGCTATTTTCAAAAATACAAAATGTTAACAAAAATGAGACCTGCACTGTCTTTTTAAGCAATGTTCATGATTTAGAGACAATGTTTAATCACAAAATTTCTAGTCATTTTTGAGAATATTTTGAAAATGTTGAGGCTTCATATAAAATACTCCCAAAAATCCAAATATCCATTTTAAACTCGCAGAGCCTAGAGTTCAGATCAATCGAGGAATATCAATTTTTGAAAAAATCGTGTGATTAGTTTTGGAGCTACCGCTGGCCACAGATG